TCTCACTTCAAACATCCCTGCTGTTTTCAGAGAGTCTACACTTCCTGCAGCAGCCATGGGGTGGCGCTCTGGTCTTAAACCAGCGCAGCGGGCTCCTGACAGCACTAGCGGGGGAAAAAGTCACTGTGACTTGTGTGTGTTGTATGATTAAATGCACACATTCATGCATGATCTTTACATGCATTAATGTAGCCTGTGTACAGACAGCAGGTCGCTCAACTTGCACTGCCCTTTCTGCCTTCACTGACCGCTCTCCATCCATCCATTCCCACTTCACTGCACTCCTCTTTTCTTGCCTTCTATGTATCCCTTTCTTCCATCTCTGTTCTCGCCTTCTTTCTCTTTCCTGTGCTGTTGCCTTGTAATCGGAAAAGTGGTTCTCTTCGCCTTTCCATCCTTTGTCAAAAATCTCTCCCGAAAAACACCACCACTGTTGAGTTCTAACACACTGTGTGGCACACTGAAAATGACAGAACTGACAAAAAAATCAATTTCGGTTTTCTATTAATTGATTAAAGCCTTTTAGCAAGCAGAAATGCCAATTGTTTGCTGATTTCATTTCCGAAATGTTCTGCTTTTCTCAGTAATTGTAGATTGAATACATTTAGGTCAGACTGTTGGTTGGACAACACAGCCAATTTGCAGATGTCACTTCTGACACTAGGAGCATGACATGAACATCTTTCACTAATTTCTGACATTTTATAGGCAAAACAACTAACTAAAAAAATCGACAGATTTGTCAGTAATTGTAACAGATGCTGCCCTATGCTACATTTCTGTGTCAGTTTGTCTCTCTGGAATATTTTTGTACTCCTGTTATTGATTGGCTTTATGTAGAAAACATGACATCACCTTAAGGACATCCAATGGTCTTAAAGAACAGAAACAACCAGTATAGTTTTTTGGCATCGCTCAGAGTCCAAAAGCTATCTTCCCTCTACAGTCTCCATTTTGCACCGACAATCGACGATCAGAGAAAATCAAAAGCAGAGGAGGCAGAATACAATGCAATCACGAGAAATGCGATTTGTGTAAGAGGTGCAGACGACATCATAGCCATCAAAATCACCAACAAAAATGACTCAACCACACTCCCATCTCAGACTAAAGGTAGCAAGCTCACATCTGTTCTTTTGGGGTTGTTGAAAGGCATTCTGGGAAGTAAAGGAAAACATTTTTATCCCCAAAAACATCTAGAATGCATTATACATCATACCAGTGATATTTAAGGGTATTTGGGAGATTTTTTATTCTTTTATTTTGCATGTGTAGTCCTCAGTGACGAAGATAAGAAAACAAAGATGTAAGGAGGTAGGCAGATGTGGTCTGCAGAGAAATGACCCCACACTGCAAAGCTGTATGCAAAAGAAAGAAGTAAAACCAGGCTGTCTGTAGGCGTGTGTGGGTGAGCGAAAGAGAAAGAGAGACTGAGAAAGAGTTGTCGAAGTAAACCTGTTCTTCCAAGCAAATCTTGTTGTGTAAATATCACTGTTGTGTAAAAAAAATCTCCTCAGAACCATATGACAGAGACAAGGTGAAAATGTTGTGGATAGCTTTTTACCCCATTTACTTCTCTCTATATATATTTGTAGAGGTGTGTGTGGGTATTTGTGTGTCCATGTGTGTCAGTATCTTACTTTCTCAGTAAATACCCCAGGGGCTTTGTGGTCTATACTGTGCGGTTTGGAGGAGTTTGTTAGTTGAGGGCCAGGTGCAGGCAGACAACACATACACTCACGGAAGATAAACGGACCCGGCGCGCGCGCGCACACACACACACACACACACTCACGCTCTCTCTCTCTCTCTCTCTCTCTCACTCACACACACACACACACACACACACACACACACACACACACACACACACGAAGGATAAATGGACCCAGTAGCAGGGAGGTCTGACAGAATGCCTTTTCACACCTGGCTGAGCCCAGCGGAAGGTGACAGAGTCACATCTCCCAAAGCAAACACACACACACACACACCCACACCCACCCACACACACACACACACACACACACACACACACACACACACACACACACACACACACACACACCTTCTCACATTGGGGAGTTCAGGGTCATAAGCAGCATCATGAATAAAATGAGGCTGTCTTAAACAGAAGGAGCCCTGTGTATGCAAGTGTGTTTGTGTCTGTGCGAGCCCCTAACCCCCATGCCAGTTTGGATCTGTAACGACCTTCTGTTCCCAGTGCTTAAATGGCTTAAATACTTCAATTAGACCTGGGTCACAATCCTCCACCCGTTAAAGCACGCCGTCACATACAACACACACACGGAAACACACAAAAAATGGTGGTTTCATCATCTTGCGATGGGACCAAAGGATTTTTTTGGTGCTCTTTCATCAGCATCTTCTCCTCTCGTCTGTGATTCAAAGTTTTACAATAAAACATCCCCCGCCAACACATGAGCAAGTATTAAACTTAACTCCCATCCTCTCTGCCAGCGTCTCCCCTGGAACTTCGCTGTCCTGTTCCCTCCTCCTTCCTCCTCCTCCTCCTCCTCCCTCCGTCTCTCCCGCCGTGCTACCCTAGCGCTAACGATGCTGCCTTTTCATTAGACAGCCCCTGCTAATTAATCTCCATAGAGGAGAGTGACAGACCTCCCCCAACACATACGCACACACACACAAAGTGCACACCAAGATATATGCAAACACACACTCTTCTTCCCTCTCTCTCTCTCTCGCTCCCTCTTCCCGAGTGGCGTTGGCAGCCCATTTCATGCTTTATCACGTCTTTTAATTGACAAACAAGCTGCTCTTTTCTCTTAGGCTGAGGTCTATATCACCCCCTCGCTCAGATGCACACACACTCGTACACACCCTCACTCACTCACACACACACACAAATACATACATAAAGAGCCAAGAAAACTAGTTATCTTCTCAGATTTTGGACACACACACACACATACACACACACACAAATAAGCAAATGCATTCCCGCTGACATATGACCCATGTGACTGTCACACAGTTTTGTACTCTTTGACACATTGTTCGTCCTCGCACACACATACACACACACACACACACAGACACCCGCACACAGACATGCACACACACAGAGCTACGGATGTCACATGTGCACTTAGGTTGAAAATTTAAAAAAAAAAAGTTAAAAAAAGTAAAGGTTCCCATCACTCAGGGCACTTCCTTAATCTTATGAGATGTTTTTTTTTCCCTGCAATGGTTCACTCATCAGCTGCAGGGCGAGGTCGATACCAATCACAACTGACTTATTGATTTCGAGTGATCGTGTGACATCTTTGGCTTTCTGATAATCGCAGAAAATACTTTTTTTTTAACCTAGTGGCATTTTACAAAATCCACATGCTAAACTACAAATTGCCTGGTTCTTGTCATATTGCTCAAATTACTGTCAAGGTCTGGATGATTTTGATGGACACTGACAGATACTACAGGGAGCATAAGGAGATAGTGACATGACCGTAGTCTCCCAAGACCCTGGAGATATCAGTGTTTAGCATTTGGTTTCATAAATACAACACAGTATACCCACTAATGCAATGTTTCTCACACTGGGGTACAGGTACCACTAGGGGAATTTGGGGTACTGCAGCAGTACGTGAGATATTTTCAAACTTTATTTAAAAAAATATCAGTCATGGATAATTCCTAAAATAAATGGACTGTAATAAAGCACAGCCTCTACAATCCAGCACTTCTATTTATATTTTCTTCTTGCAAGTGGACCATATTCTGTAAATTAAAACAGAGTGAATAATTAAAAAGTCTCCTTTGCAAGGTCATTTTCTACAAGAGTTGAGTTAAGAAATTAAAATCGTTGGATCTGCTTTTGGTTAAGCATTTTCTGTAGAGTAAGATTTGAAATATTTCTGTTCTGATGAGGGAGGTTCTGCATGAAGAAGATTTAAGAAGTGTCCCCGGCTGTAAGTGGGTCAGGGTGAGTGTGCTGCTGGCTTAGTCGCCCCCTCCACCACCACCACCTTGTTCTTTTACATTTCTCTGCTTTTAATTGGGACTCTGAGCAGAACTACTGAGTCCACTGGGATTCTGCTAAATTTGACACAGGTTGGGTACAAACTGTTACTACACTCTACATACTTAAAACTAGTACACTTTAACACAGTATAAAGGTAAACCTGATGGTATGTAAAATGCATGTGCATCATTTGCCATCTGTATATAATGAGGCTTTCACATTAAAGCCTTTGTCTTTAGCTCCTTTGCTCTGCTGCATAAATACACACTTTTTATCATGGAGACACACCTTAGTGATATGACCTGTATAGTTTTCTATGTACCTGCTTTTGTGCTCTGTTTCAGGAAGCTCCCAATTAGCTCTTCCTGTCAGTGTGGTGATGTGTCCAACACATTGTTTAGAAAATGTTCCCTAATCTGTTTCTTTCTATAATCTCCATAATAATTAGAAAAAATATTGATGTGGTAGATAAACAGTGTAGGAAGTGGTGCCATATTTATTATAAATGCCCATGTTAGTGAATATTCAAACCTAAACTTAGTTGCTCCACTAAGACAGATAAAAATAGTGTCTATAAGAAACAAATGTCATTTAAACATTTACTGTGTGTTGTTTCATTTTAATTTTCTCTGACACCTACTAAATATCTGTCGCAACTAAGAAGCTACTATTAGCAGTGCTGATCAACAGTGATCAGTGAGTGTCCAGATACTAAAATACAAGGCTCAAAATGACTGCAATGTCAACGCTTTATCCAACAGGTATAGAACTGCACCTTTTTCTTCAGCTGTATTGACAATGTATACCTATGTTACGTGTTCAACCAAAATGCATGGGGCTTTTAATGGCCTCTTCATTCTGCAGGACACAGATTTATTTATGACATCTCCGTCTAGCATTCACATATGCCTACAGACTGATTATCCTGCTGGCAAAAAGTCTAAAAGTGAAAGTGTGAACAGCAGTAGTGTGGAGTTTGCTGACAGTGTAAGATACTCACTGTGATGTGATACTGTCTCCAGATCTCTGGACAAGCCTGAGGAGGGAAAAAAACAATACTTGATATGGTCATCAACTATACACACAGATATACACACTTTGATGGAGGACATGAAACGAGCAACACAGATTTAAAAGAGGGGGAATAAAAACCTGCAGCATGTGTGTCTCAAAAATACATATTTTTCCTCTAGTGCTATTTATCAGTCTAGATTGTTTTGGTGTGAGTTGCTGAGTGTTGGAGATATTGGCCATAGAGATGTCTACCTTCTCTCCAGTATAACAGAACTAGTTGGCACTCTGCTTGTGGTGCTCAAAGCGGCAAAAAAATTTGTTAGAAAAACTAGCTCAGTGAAGCTAGGTGAGATAGCAGTAGATGCACGCTTCCTTCTGTGCAGTGATATAATTGGCAGGTGTAGTTCAGTAGAGAGAAAATAGTTCCTACATGAAACTGCTCACACCAAGGTCCGTGGATCATCTTGAGCAGCCAGGTCATGATTTCTGGAAACAGACATTGCTGTTGGATTTTCCCAATGTAGTTCTTGGCGCTTTGAACACCACAAGCTGAGTGCCATCTAGTTACATTAAACCGGAGAGAAGGCAGACATGTCTATGGCCTCTATCTCCAACACTCGGCAACTCACAGTAAAACAATGTAGGTTGATAATAGCACTACAGGTAAGAGGAAAAATATATAAATATAAATATAACCCTATTTTTGATTTGGGGGTGAACTGTCCCTTCAATGCTGAGAGACACACATAGAATATTAAAGACACAATAAAGAAGAAACATTTAGGCAGACGCTGACTAACGACAGATAGAGTGCCAAAAGGAAACTGAAAAGTAGGCCATGGTGTCATTTATTTGCCTGACTATTTAAATCTTTTCCTCTGTCTCTCACTGAATGTTTAACACCCTGATTTCTCAGCAACATCCTGTTTCCCTTCCATGTGTCTCCCTGCAGTCAGTCACTCCAACAGTCAGTAAGTAAGGCAGTCAGTTGTTTTGTCCCGGTGTGGCTAAAGCATTATCTCCGGGGCTTCGCCACGCTGTTCCTTAAGCGTTCCGACATCCTTTCCCAACCGCCGCCACTTCCCACTGGGAAATTGAAAATGCCGCAGTCGCCGCAGGCAACAAGATTTATCTACTTACACACCTACTGAGTGAGAGAGAGACAGAGAGAGAATGAGAGAGAAGGAAAGGAAGATTTAAGCCTGTCCTGCGAGGAAGCCTATGTTTATTTTTCTCTTGCATACACTAAACAAGTTCTTATACAAATTTGCATGATATGCAAATTCTTGTCACATTAAAAAATGACTATTTGGCCCAAAAGTGCTTGTTCAAATCCTGACCTTTAAGCCTGTGAAGAAGGCTGGGCACTTTTTCTGGCTTAATCTGAGCTGTTTAGATTTGAATACAGAGATGGGTAAATATGTATTTCGATAGCTATATCCTCCTCCACCTCTCATCTAGCTTTCTTTTCTTCAACACCCCCCCCCCCCCCCCCCCCCCCCCCCCCCCCCCCCCCCCCCCCCCCCCCCCCCCCCCCCCCCCCCCCCCCCCCCCCCCCNCCCCCCCCCCCCCCCCCCCCCCCTCCACCACACCCACACCAGCTCCCTCCCGTTTGCTCTCTCTCCCTCCAGACCGCCAGGGTAGTGTGTTGTTGTCGAGGGCGACAGGCGAGGCGAGCGACACACTCGCGCTCCGTCAACCGTCTGTCTTTAATGAGAGACACAGAAAGGCCCAGGGGACAGAGACCTGACTCTCTTTCTCTCTCAAACACACACACAAACACATACAGTATAATTTGTGAGTGTAAGGAAACAAAAGTTATGCGTTCCAAGAGAAGGGTAATTACAATACCACACAACTTTGCACTTCTGTTTGCTGCGGAAAACAATATGCAAAAGAGAGAGGAAGAACAAGATGAGCATGAGGATCCGGAGAAGAGGAGAGAAAGAATGGACAAGAGAGAGAGAGAGGTAGAGGGAGAGAAAAAAGGGGCGGTGTGTGTCCTGGTCTCCCCTCTCCCTCTGGTGTTCACCTGGTTACTCATCCATTACACAGAGCACAGTACGTATGACTGACTGGCGGAGAGCGAGAGAGTAAAAGAGAGAGAGAGTGGGGGGTGTAAGGTGGGGGAGACACAGGCAGCTCTTACATGCACACAGGATTTTCCATTCTATGGCATTAGTGTAAATGGGCAAGGTAATGAACGTTGCGGTGGGATAATTGTCATTGATGGTCATTAGATTCACCCTTCAGTGCCAACACACATGCATACGCATACTCATACACACACACACACACACACACACACGCAAGCCCACAGCTGGAATATGCAGCATGGCAGAGACATAACTAAGCTGTAATTGCTGAAGTGTATCAATTAATGTGAACAGCAGCGTGTGCTGACCCCCGGTCACTCATTATTACTGAGAGAGAAAGTGGGGGAGACAGGGAGGAAAAGAGGGGAAAAGGGAGAAAATGAGGGAGGAAGGGGGAGAAAAGAGGAGGTAATGGAGAGGAAATAAAAGTACTCTACACTATATTTCTGTTATAAAAGGTGGCTGGCGCTTCATGTTTACATTCATCATTAACTGTTCTTACTACAAGCTGAAGCCCCCACACACACACCATCTGTGGCCATTTAGCTGTGCTCGCTCTAACAGCAGCATCAAGTTAATTGAATTCAAAGCTTTCTTATTCCCGCAGTTCTTCATTCCTTCAATTTTACTTTAAGCAGTATGTCTTTATATCTTGACTGTCTATTTGCTTCTAGTACTGATTTAGTTATATTTCTAGGCTTTCCTATATGCATTTCACACATGCATATCATTATGTTTGACTACATTACCCATGTGAAATTGCATGACATAGCACAGGTGAGTTATTTGTCTGCAGTCTGCAGTTCCTCAAATGGCCACTTGAGACTGGCTCCAAGAACAAGTGAATCCTCATAGACCCCCATGTTAAAATTTCCAACTTTACAGCAGAAATAAACACGTTTACAGCCTGGTACAAAAAACACAGTTTAAGTCGCTATAGCTAATTTCCTGAATCCCCATTCATGACGTTCATGGGCTGAATTTTTATATTAGACACTGGTCTAAATGTTAACAAGGATTAAAGTCGTGCATAATTAAAGCATGGCCGCTTTGATCGAAAGGCAGGTGCCATCTGTTGACAAGTTGCTACCACAGCAGCAACAGTGGTTATTTAACCTGACCGTGGCATAACCCCAGAGTCACAGAGGTGTAGCCATAGCTGTCACTATTTCAGTGTGTTTTTAGTTCACGAAATTTAATTATAATATTTTGATTGCCTCAAAACGTTTTGTTCAGCATTTGGTTGTACATAGACCCTCTGTGGAGTCAGATGTTAAGTTTTTCCGATAAGTACTTTTTTAGGCGTTTTTTGCCTTTATTGATAGAAAAGTTGTAGACTGACTGACAGAAAAGGTGGGTACGTTCATTTTCTTTATTGGTTTTTGCTGGCAGAAATAAGCATTAGCAATAACCATAGCTGTAAATGCACCATGCTAACCATGCTAACCATGCTAACCAGCTAGTAGCTAGCATCCACCCCCAAAAAACGGCTAAAATGCCACACTCAAGACTTTACAAAAAGAGTCAACAAACCAATGGGTGACGTCACAGTGGCTACATCCATACACTCTGTGGTTGGAATATTTTATGTCAAATAGACCACATGGACGAAAGTACGTACACTTTTGGCCTCAGGCTGCTCTACTTAGTTTAAGCTTGGCCCCTTAAATCTAATTACGGCAAATCTTAATGCTACAACATAACAATGACATTTTAGACAATTATACACTTCAAACAAAATGGCAACATTTTTGGAAGGCCCTTTCCTGTCTCAACATGACAATGCCCCTGCGCACAAACCGAGGTCCATGGGGAGAAAAAAAGAAAGAAAGAAAGAAAAACATTTTTCTGAGTTCGGTGTAAAGGAACTTGGCTGGTCTGCACAGAGCAGTGACCACAACCCCATCCAACCCCTTAGGGATGAACTGGAACAATGACTCTGAGCAGGGCCTTATCACCCAACATCAGTGCCTGACCTGACTAATACCCTAGTGGCTGAATGGTAGCCAATACCTGCAGCCAGTTTCCTAAAGATCCTCCTAGAGGAGCTGAGGCTTTGAAAGTAGCAGATTAATGCCCTTAGGTTTTAGAATAAGATGTTCAACAATCACATTAAGACGTCAATATACTTTTGGCCATGTGTTGTGTTTGATCTGATGGTACGAAGTTTGGCTTTATTCCAGCATGCCTGCATTGGACTCATGTGCCGAGTCTTCTTCTTATTTTAAATCCACACAAATAAAACATGATGCTATACTCACGTCAAAGAAGTGCCCCGTCATGCTGCAGCGATGGCACTGTTTGTGCCAGTATGCTCTCTCACTGCAGGAATCATAGAGGTGCCCGGGCAGGCCGCAGTTGTTGCAGTGCCTATTGGGACATTCATTGGACAGGTGGCCTGGGTTGCCACAAAGGAAGCAGGGTGGAGACTTCTGCACACACACAAACACAGATACACACATTACACAGCTAGTAGATTTAAGTGCTTGTACTCATCAGTGTGTATAAGCTGTACATGCCGCTGTGCACTGAGTGGAACTGACTTCGGGCTCAGGGCAGTTCTTGGAGAGATGTCCGGTCTTGTTGCAGTTTCTACACTCGACGTTCTTGTTGGTGTAGTATCTGTTTGACAACCGCTGCGCCGCCACTCTGGCACCTTTGTCTTTGTTACAGATCCGAGCCTGGAACACACACAGTTGATGCATCATTTACTTATTTTTATTGTTTTGTACCCACAAAGTACATACGTTCAACTGTCAGTCATTCATTTTCAGTAAAAATCAGAGAAGTATTATTTTCCAACTCATTGTTATGATTGACAAAAAAAATCAGAGCTTTTACATTGGCATTTCTCGGTGCGCCGAGTCAAACCATACCACCTGCATTTGCATTTCCATTACCAGTTTAAACACACTGAATTACCCCAAGTCACACCAAGTGGCTGATGAGATGGACCATCTCCGGAGTCAAGCCAAGGCATGATCAACTACCTACAAGTGGCAGCTACCGGCAACTTTTACAATGGAAAGTTTTCTTGCATGTTACTCAATGCATAATGCAAATCCCTGCCCACTGGGCTAGCTTGCCGAGTCAAGCTGAGTCAAGTCATGCAAGCACATGTATGGAAAAGAAAGGGTACCATACCCTCAAGTTAGGGCTGCTTGTTTAGAGCAAAAATCATGATCACGATTATTTTGGTCAATACTGACATCACGATTTAATTGAAACGCAAATTTGATCAATTGCACAGCCCTACATCTAAAGACAGCAAAGTATTCTCGTAAGAAATCACACATTACTTCTTATTACTAAGGCTTGTAACCTTATATAGAACCAGTCCTAGTTAATCAAACAAATACACGTCTCACCACAAGCAAAGACCACAAGCAAAAAGCCTCAGAAAACAAAGTGGCTGAATGTCAGGATATATATTACATATTGTAAATTTATTAATGTCCACCTACCTCCTTGTCTTTGGACGAAACCAACCAGCTGCTCTCTTCTTCCTCTTCAGCATCTGGCAGGACAGAAAAATACATTTTAAAATAATGCAAATTTAATTGCTGAAGTTTGGGATATTATTTTCAATTATATATATACTCAGTCTTTCGCAATTTTAAGTAAATGTTTGCTTTAATTCATACAGTGTGTGATTTTTTTCATAGTAAAAAGCTAAATGATTCCTATGAATCGCACGCATACAAAAACACAATTAGAAACATGAACATGTATCTACAACCCTTTCTCAACTGGTATTCACAAGAAGCGAGGACTTTACGGTAGTCTAAATCAATGAAACATAAAGGTGTTTTTTGCTTTCACCTGCTCTTTTTCTACTCAAACAACATGACAAGAACTGGAACCAGGATTCGATAACAACCAGAGCTGATAAATTCTAGACAATATCCAACCCTATTAAGAACTCTAAACCCTGAGGAATAAGTTTAGCTTCCTGTAAGAGAAGGACATGTACACACACACACACACACACACACACACTAAGAAACTGACACAGTGGCAGCCCGGCACATCTGTATGAGAGTGGCACTAACAGCGCCCTGAGGGAGACCACTGTATACTTCTCAGGCCCACAGAACTGTAACTGACATCCAGAAATCCTAACGTACACACAAACACACACAGAGAAATGCACACGGACACGTGTACTCAGCATAAATTATGTGCTGATAGCAATGACCCACACATGCTTTCACAAACACATACAGACACACCCACTCATCGACCCCCACGATTAGCTGGTTGACAGTCTTTAGCCTTTGGACAAACATACAGCCTTGAGCCATAATCAAATATTACAGTCTCCTTTCCACCTCTCTTTCTTTCTTTCTATCTCTCTTTTTTGGACTCTCTCTCTCTGGCACCTTATCGCAATTCTGCTCAGCCCTCCTTCCTTTGCATTTGCTCTCTCTCTCTTCTTGTTTTCTCCCCCCCCCCCCCCCCCCCCCCCCCCCCCCCCCCGAGTGTGAGGCTGCAAAGGGAGGTTATCACCTCTCCTCCCCGTCAAACAAATTAAAATGGCTGCTGTTTGGATGGGGCTTCTTCCTGCCACGACTTTCACCTCAAAACAGACACACACCCTTGCAAGAAACTCATCATCCTCATCAAAGCAAAAGCTTGTGACTCCGATTTAGATGACTGCATTTGAGTTCTGGGTTGATTGATTTGGACTGATGGAAACCTTTAAATATCCTTCAGACATTGGACGAGTTTGAAGGCAGTTTTTCCCAAATCTTATATATTTTGGAGAAATACACAGCAGACTGTACAATGTGTATAAACCAACACAATATAAACCCTGTTTTTAAGAGGGGCTTCTCTATCATCCTTGAACAAAAAACTGTCCCCAATACAGAATTTATGTAAAGTATTTCCAAATATTTTAGACTGTAACATTAGTATCTACACTGCCAACGGTAAAAGCAGTCCACCAAGACTTGAAATGATGATGATGCAATCATGTGACACTAACTATGAAGTTGGTCCATTAAAAATGAATCGGTAATCTTATCCACCAATATTAGCATGTGCATGCATGTTTTTTAAACACCTGCTAAAACAGGCAATAGATTCCTTTCCCATTGCCAGTGGACCAGAGCTGCCTAAACAGCTTTGCAGTAGACAAGTACCCCTTTCTGTATTTTTTACTTGTGTCACATTCGACGTCACAAACAAGTGACAGTGCAGTGGGAAAGATGCTTAAGTGACTTAACTGGACTCATACTTTACTTAAAGGTCGGTTACACCATTGAGATTCATTTTAATCTCTATGGCTCTAAAAAGGATTTGGTAATGACAAAGACACAATGTCAGTAAAGCAATGTGTAGTGACTAATCTGTCACCAAACAAATACAACATATAAGCAGTTTTAGAAAGCAGTGTTTAAAGAAAAATTCACAGAAAACACACCTAGTGTAATACACATTTTTAAAGAGGGCAAGAAGGAAGCGTCATAAAAAAAAAAGCATTTAGCTGATCTCCTTTAGCTTAGTTTTACAGAGCCAAATGCAATGTCTAAAAATGCCTACAATTATGTAAAACAGAAAAGAAGCATATCCTCATACTGCGGAAACTCAAAAGACAAAAGTTTGGTAGTTTTGCTTAAAGAATGACTGAAATGACTTTTAAATTTACTGTCAGCCAAAGAGCAGTGTACCATAGTTATACATCTATTAGCTGTATATATGCATGTGTGCTGTTTCTAACATTCACACAATAGAAAGAGTCATTCTGGGAAAGGTGGGTTTTTTTTACTTCAGTCCAGAGAAGTGAACAGTAAACCTCTGCGGTGCTCACCTTCTGTGAACAGACTGGGGGGCCTCTGTGTGACGTGTGTGTGTTAGTGAAAAGCTCCATGCACGCGTAGTTGGTGTTACACAACAACCAGCACCCAGTCAATGGGCAGCTCGAAGAAAAAAAGGCAGGGGTGAAAGGTGTGTATGTGTGCGCAGAAGTGCATCTGAGTTTGTGTGTGCGAGAGTAGGCGTTAGTAATTCAACGAAAGTCATTCCCAAAGCGTCTCTCGGGGGGACTCCCCAAATAAAGAGCAGGAAGCTTTCCCTTAATCTAAGGGCCCCCCATCTCACCAACACACACACGGATAAAGGTTGAAGCTCTTTGTCACGGCCGAGGAATCAAACACATGGGTGGGGGGGGGGGGGGGGGGGGGGGGGGGGGGGGGGGGGGGGGGGGGGAGATGGAGGAGGAACAGAGTAGAGGGTGGGTGGGGGGCTGTTGTCTGTACACTGGGTGAAAATATGCTAATCAACCTTGAGGCCCTGCTCAAAACCAAACCATAAGAGCTGCTCGCTTCGTCGTGGCCCAACTGATCTGAAGGAGTCTGGAGCTGAATAAGCAGATGGCAGCGGCTTCACCGAGCAGCTGAACAGACTCGAGAGACGGGCCTCCGCCATGTCGGCTGCAACTGTTCAATTTCAACCAATCTAATGGCAAAGCATTTCTTACAGCCATCTTAAAAGTCCAATGATCCTAGAAAGAGAAATACATGTGATGCCTCAGTAGGGGTCTCAAGAAAAACAACAGACCTGAAACAATCAGCAGACAGAAAAATTTGAGAAAACGTTCCTTAGCATCCCATTTACAGTGAGTTATACGGGTTCCACTGATTTTTATTCTCCGGGACAACTCGTACATTATCACATCACTCCGCCATCGAGGGAAATTCGACACAATGGCATGGAAGAGGGGGAGACGGGAAACAGAGGGAGGGAAGGATCAGGGGAGAGAAGGCGACAGATGCTACCTGTCTGTCTCATAGGTACCCTGATTACTAGAAGATGAGGAGGAGAGGGGAGGAGGCTGCGTGCCAGTTCATCAGAGCCGGCAGAACAGAACAAAACAGTGAAATTGTGTGTCTCGGTGTGTGTGTGTGTGTGTGTGTGTGTGTGTGTGTGTAGTGTGAGGGGGAGCTTGTATGTGTGTGTGAATGATTTGAATCTGTCCCTTCTACCAGTGAGAACAGAACAGAAGTGTACGTGTGGCTAATGAACCATGAACACCCGGCTCTCCTGGGGTGACACACACACACACACACACACACACGCAGGAAGGGAATATAAGGGGACCACAAGAGACATTCTTCTCCCAGGACAAGGGCCAAGCAGAGTGGTTTAGGTCCGGCAACCCAGGGAAGAGATTAGGAACATCAAGACACGCACCCAGCCTTCAATATGTCCGTCTCTACTGCAAACCACTCTCAACTGCTACAACCAACCAGTTTCCTACAGTGTGTGTGTGTGTGTGTGTGTGTGTGTGTCATATACAAGCTGTTCTCCCCTCTGTCCCAGCAACATCAAAGCCTTGGACTGGCCTGCCTTGCCCCTATATCCCTCTTTCCCTGTCCTGACACTTAAACAGGCAACCCAAGTCAGCCTGCCCATTGTACGATGCTGTTGACCGGGCCCATTAACACACCGACCAGTGTGCATGCACGCGCAAACACACACACACACACACACACACACACACACACACACACACACACACACAAAACAGGAGTGAAAGAGAGGCCTTGCCCCCCAAATGGAGGTTATGTTTGATACTGAAGCGACAGGGCCGGATTAGCAACACTATACATGACAATGGTGAGGGTGGGCGGGAGTGTGCAGACCATGTGTGTGTGTGTCGGTGTGTGTGTCGGTGTGTCTGTGCACGTAAAAAAAGTGCTTCCTTTGTGACATCACCCTTGCCCTACAGCCTTGCCCTCTGCGAGGTTAAACACACCAAAAGGTTGGCTAAGTCGGGCACACACACGGACACACGCACACAAACCCGTAGCTTTTCGACGCTCTTTTGTGTGACAGAAAAGTCTGGCCGAGGGTGTAAAACACAATAGCAAAGAGAGCAGGAGAACAAGTGAGATGAACAAGAACAGAGAGCAGGGGGGTGCATGGGTATGGGGCATGGAGCGCATTACTACACAACAAAAGAGGAGCTGGCTGAATATCAAGCCCACCGGACAGCAGAGAGCATACAGGTAGAGGAGTGTCTGTGGGAATACTGGTGGAGGACAGCGGAGGAGTGGGGCAAACTAGGTCGTGAAGATGAAATGATATGCAGAACAAGAAGGAGATAGACACTGTCTGTGTAGATAGATATTTGCCATGCTGGGACTAGATCAATAGCTGTACAGGCCTATTATAGATTAAAGCTGCAGATTTGATTTGGCTTCATTTCATGCTTTTTCTGTGCTAAACTGATCTCTCTGTTAAGGACCCTGACACACCAGACTGACTGTCGGCCATCGCTCAATGTTGGGCTGTCGATGAGTGTCAGCGCCCTAGATTTTGCAGTGTGTCCCACACTGTCGGCACTAGTCGGCCCTTGTTGGCAGCTTTTTGGCCAATTCACGAATGTTGAATGGACGGCGGAGCCTGTCTGTGAGAGAAATCACTCAGACTGGCAGTTCAGCTCAGTGCACGAAAAGAGAAAAAGAAGTGAGGAAAGCAAAGAAACAGCTCAAGTCAACAGGGCGTGAG